ACATTTATAAAATTATTTAAAATCCTAACGTTTAATTTAATCGTTATTTCGTTTAAAAATTCCAATAATTAAAATTAAAAAAATAATAGTTAATAGTGACATCTATCATACGTTTGATACCATATCTGTATGTAAACTGATTAAAACTGGTCTGCCTGCAATTATTGCAAAATTCTCATTAAATCATTATTTCGTGAAATGGTGTCATTTCATGATATTTATCACTGTTTGTTGACCATGTCTTAGCCAAATCAATGAATAGAGATCATTTAACGATATTAATAATTAAACAGTTGTAGAGCTACGCGGCAGCTTTTGCTGTCGCACGGATGGGCCGGCTCGAACCGGGTGGTACCGCGACCTCACAGAATACCAACATGAAGTAGAGGTTTACCTCTGCGTTGCGCTTGGTGAGTGCAGGTGGCCGGAGGCCCAATTCCACCCCCACCTTCATCAACATGGTAGCGGAATTAAAGAAAAGACTACCCAAGGAGAGTAAGACCAAGGCGACCCCTGTCACGCTATCCGTGAATTTTTGCAACATCAGGGGACTTCATTCCAACCTTAACGCTGTCCATTACCATCTAGAGACGGCGAAGCGAGCCTTGCTCTTTTTAACCGAGACTCAGGTGTCCTTTCCGGCTGATACTTCATATCTCTCCTACATTTTTCATCATCATTACAGCCCTTCACAAGTCCACTGCTGAACATAGGCCTCCCCCAAAGAATGCCACAAAACACGGTCCTGAGCCACCTGCATCCATCGACTTCCTGCATGTCTTACCAGGTCGTCACTCCATCTCGTGGGGGGACGCCCTACACTTCGCCTACCGGTACGAGGCTGCCACTCGAGAACCTTTCTTCCCCATCGGTTGTCGGTTCTTCGAGCTATATGGCCGGCCCACTGCCACTTCAGCTTACTAATCCGTTGGGCTATGTCGGTCACTCTGGTTCTACTGCGGATATCCTCATTCCTAAGTTTATCACGCAGAGAAACTCCGAGCATAGCCCTCTCCATAGCTCGCTGAGCGACCTTGAGCTTCCTCATACGGCCAGCAGTGAAGGACCACGTCTCAGTTCCGTAAGTCATCACTGGCAACACGCACTGGTTGTACAATTTCGTTTTAAGGTTTTGAGGTATGTCTGACGAGAAGATGTGTCGTAGCTTCCCGAACGCTGCCCAGCCGAGTTGAATCCGTCGATTGACCTCTCGGTCGAAGTTGGACTTACCCAGTCGGACTATTTGTCCCAGGTAAACATACTCGTCAACAACTTCGAGCTTAGTGTTCCCAACAACTATCGGCATAGGTGTGACATGGACATTAAACATGATCTTAGTTTTGTCCATGTTCATCTTAAGACCTATCCGTTGGGAAACACTATTGAGGTCATTGAGCATAGTGCTTAGGTCCTCCAGCGATTCTGCCATAAGGACTATATCGTCGGCAAATCGAAGGTGAGTGATGTACTCGCCATTGATGTTGATACCGTATCCTTTCCAGTCCAGAAGCTTGAAAACGTCTTCCAATGCAGCGGTGAAGAGTTTCGGGGATATGACGTCACCCTGTCTTACACCTCTCTGCAATTGGATAGGTTTCGTACTCTGGTTCTGTACTCGGATAGCCATCGTAGCCCTACTGTACAAGCACTTCAACACTTCGATATACCGACAGTCAATTTGGCACCGCTGAAGGGACTGCAGCACCGCCCAAATTTCGACGGAATCAAAGGCTTTCTCATAGTCCACATACGCCAGACATAGTGGCAAATTGTACTCTTCGGACTTCTGTACAACTTGCCGAAGGGTATGTATGTGGTCTATGGTGCTAAAGCCTTTTCGGAAACCGGCTTGTTCGGGAGGCTGGAAGTCGTCAAGTCTGCGCGCGAGACGATTCGTAATGACTCTCGAAAACAGCACGTAGGAGAGATACGTGCTGTATCTCTCCTACGCGGGGTACAAATTAGAACACTTCTTTGTGCCCCGGGCTGGAGTTTGTGTATACGTCAGAGAGGACATCTGTTTTCGACGCCTCGGCAGTCTTGAAGGTTCGGACCTGTCCATCCTATGGCTGCGCGTAGACAGCGACGACCATCCCCGAGTCTACGGGTGCCTCTATAGGTCCCATAGCGGTAATGCCGACACAGACCGACTAATCGACCACGTCCAAATGGCTGCAGACTCCGTGCTACAACAGTTCCGTAGATCCGGAGATCGTGATACTCGGTGATTTTAACGCCCACCACGCCGAAGGGCTTGGTTCCCGTTTAACCGATCATGCTGGTAGATCTGTCTATGACTTTGCCTTGGTATATGGTCTAACACAACTGGTTACTTCGCCTACGCGGAACCCAGATGTGGAGGATCATGTACCTTCTCTGTTGGACCTTCTGTTGACCTCTCATCCGGACGGATATCAGATCTCCGTCGATGGCCTTCTGGGCTCTTCGGACCATTATCTGATCCGGAGTACGGTGCCACTCACGCTCCCATCGCAGTTGCGATCTGCAGCTTGCCGCGTATTTGGCACTATAGGTCGACCGATTGGGATGGGATGCGGTCTTTTCTTGCATCCTACTCTTGGGGGCGGGTTTGCTTCTCGCCGAAAGATCCCAGCGTTGTTACAGATTCTGTTGCTGATGTGGTATTTCAAGGTATGGAACTTTTTATTCCATCCTCTGTGGTGCCCATCGGAGGCAGATCCCAGCCATGGTTTGGTCGCTCCGGGTGCTACCGGGCCTGTGCTGACCATCAACGTCTCGGGATGTAAACACCAGCGCACTTAAAAAAAAAACAATTAAAAAAAAATTCCGCCTCCAGGTCCTTCAAAAGCGTCATTGCCAAGGCAAGATCTGAGCACATCGGAAGAATTGGCAAGAAGCTAGTTTGCCTTCCTTCGGGTACCCGTGTATTCTGGTCTTTCGCCAAGGCTGTCCAAGGGAACTTCTATCAGCCATCTCTTCCATCTCTGCACAGAGAAGACGACTCACTGGCCCATGCCGCAAAGGAGAAAGCCTATCTTTTAAGCTCTCATAAGTAGACGATGAATGCTCTGATTTCAAGCCTATATCTATATATCAACGCTAGTGTTCCACAAAGCTGCGTGCTATCACCAAGGATGTTTCTCCTGTATATCAGTGATATGTTGCAAGCTGGTAGTATTCATTGCTATGCAGACGACAGCATTGGTGATGCGTTATATACCGGCCGTGCCAATATTTCTCGGGAAAACGTCGCCGAGTACCGGGACAAACTTGTGTCTGAAGTCGAGTCTTTGCTGAACAAAGTCTCGGATTGGGGGCTACTAAATCTAGTCCAGTTCAATCCCCAGAAGACACAAGTTTGCGCGTTTACCGCTAAAAAGAACCCCTGTGTCGTATCTCCTCAGTTTCAAAGCACTCCCCTTGCTGCCTCAGCTAGCATCGGAATCCTCGGCATCGACATATCGAATAGTGTGAAGTTTCGTGGTCACTTGGAAGGGAAGGCCAAATTGACCTCTAAAAAGCTTGGCGTGCTCAGCAGAGTGGGACAGTATTTCATGTCGGCACATCGCTTGCAACTTTACAAAGCGCAAATCCGGCCTCACATGGAATACTGTTCCCATCTCTGGGCCGGGGCACCCCAGTGCCAGCTCCTTCCACTTGACCGCATCCAGCGCAGAGCGGTTCGAATCGTCGGCGACCGAGTTCTTTCTGATCGGCTCGATACACTGGCACTTCGTAGAGATGTTGCATCTCTTTGCGTATTTTATCGCATCTATCACGGGGAGTGCTCTGAGGAATTGTTCGGACTAATTCCAGCCGCTCAATTTCACCATCGCACAGCGCGACAAAACTCGCGTTACCATCCATACCATCTAGATGATTGGCGGTCCACCACTGTGCGAAGAAGCTCTTTAGAAGAAGTTTTCTCCCTCGCACAACTTCCTTGTGGAATCAATTACCATCAGCGAATTTTCCGGACCGATACGACTTAGGAACCTTCAAGAAAAGAGCTTACACCTTTCTAAAAGACCGGCAACGCATCTGCAATTGTTGGTGTTGCGGTTGTTCATGGGCGGCGGTAGTCACTTACCATCAGGTGAGCCGCATGCTCGTTTGCCCCCTCTTCTATAAAAAAAAAGTATCCAGTAGTGTGTACACACTTACGTGCTGACTTACTACGTATCCGGTGAAGTGGTGAAGAATAACTTCGTGGGCAATTCTAAGTGTCTGAGTAGTTAAAAAAGTCGTGGAAATATAAAAGATATTAATACGCATTGAAGGATTGCGGCATACTGTTTTCTGCCTACAAACACTATACGTAATGTGGAGCCCTGTGCACAGTAGTGAGATGTATGTAAGATGCTACTTTAGTTTTTATACCTTTAATGACACTTACAAATCAGTTTGTCATTTAAGATTTTTGTATTTTTGAGTTTTCATATTATCGAATAAATCAATATTTTTATGACAATCCTGGTTTTATAGCTCATATGAGATATGTAAATGAACAGGTTGTTGCGAAAAAATACTTTAAATATCAAAGATAGCAGATTTTACTTAAACAAAGCTTTATTTTATTTTACTTGTCAAAGGCGGTAATGAAACTGATCCAACGGAAGACACATCCAATATAAAAACGTTGTATATGTTTCTAGACATATGATATTAATGCAATTCTGAAAAACTTATTTATTCACGTGTTCTTGTATCATATTATATACATGCCAATTATAAATCATCTAGGTCCAATATAGTCTTTGGGAATTAAAAAAAAATCTTTGACAAACTTACACACACTTTTTACACGCGAGCGAATCCGCAGGTAAAAAGTTAGTTATAAATATTAAGCTTTTTCTACATACTGTTATTGCGATTTGCAAGTGGCAGTTAATTGTTTCAATGCAGTACACAAACACTATGGTAGCTTTTGTAGAACTATATTTTTGAGTCTATTCTTGTGTTTTTGTATGTATTCATTATGTAATATATTCTAATTTTCATATCATATTTTATTCCAGCAAAAGTACCATTTCCTTTGACCCTGAGATTTAAGCCAATGCTCCAGCGTGGCGTAGAGTTAGCATACCTCGATGCATCCTGGGTGTCATCTGCGTCCTGGTACTTCCTCAATGTTTTTGGTCTACGCACTATATATGCACTTGTGTTGGGAGAAAATAATGGTACGTACTTTTGTAATTGTGACTATAATGAATAAACACATTATATATAAAAATAATGAACACACACAACAATATACACAATATTATAAATATTACTAAAATTTTGTACACCCGACTTCAATATAAATTTTAGGGATAACTTAAAAACTATTGGGCAAACTTTGATCAAATTTATATGGGACCACATGGGAAGCACCAGCTTTCAAAAAAAGAATCATCGAAATCGGTTCACCTAGAAAAAAGTTATGAGGTAACACACATAAAAAAAACATACAGTCGAATTGAGTACCTCCGCCTTTTTGAAGTCGGTAGAAATCTATTATTAAAAGAAGAAATACGATCACTTTCTTGATTTTCATATGTTTTATAAAAAGTTATATGCATAAATCTTTCTAAGAACTCATTTTAGAAAGGCCTAGTCCAGCGGTGTACTTACATGATTATTCCATACAAATACTTTAACCAATCAAATGACATTTCGATTATGTCCATGGTTGTATGCTAAGATCCTTTTGCCTTCTCTGCACAGGAAAATGTTAAGTTATGCAAAGAAAGTTAATTAAGTGTCGTTTTTTTATTTATTTATATTTATATCAGTGCTTGATGACAATCCCACCTGATGGTAAGTATTGATGAAGCCGCACACTTGGTTGAATTTCACCCACAGGCTATTGCCTGTATTAGTATTCTAGTCGGTATAATTTGTATCCATCACATGTTATCATGAAGTAGGATCGTAGTCAAGCAACAGTTTATAATTAAAATAATATGGACTGCATACAAAAGCAAATACAATTAAAATAATATGGATGGCATACATATAAATTGATCCAATCTTCATGGCAGCTTTGAAATTTGTTGGGTGAAATCTTCATGCAAGTACACTCAGGCTGATAAATCATGTTGGCTTTCTCAGTACACAATATATAGAAAATAATTCCTTTATTGGACATTCTAAAATAAGTAATTAATTAATATCTGTGAAATTTATTAATTCAATAAAAACTAAAGATTTCTCTGTTTTTACATGAATTATACAATTAGCTGATTTGTGTTATATATCTGTCTATGGTAATAGCTAAATTTACGGATGTAACATTTGCTACTGTGCAGAACCTTGCCTAGCTTCAGCCAATGTTAAGTTTGGATCACACTTTACTATTAAAGCATGTTTGCTATTACAATGTATTCTAATGAATTTCATTGACTTTCTAAACTCACATAGCCAACATTTTAGAAATATTGTTTCAATAATTAAATAAAATTAATATTTCTTTTTAGCGGCTGATCAGTCGAAGATAATGCAGGAACAAATGTCTGGTGCTGCCATGGCCATGCCTCCGGACCCAAAGGCCGCCTTTAAAGCGGAGTGGGAAGCACTAGAAATCACAGAGCATCGCTGGTCTCTGGCTACAGTCGAATCTGAACTGCTTGCAAGCACAGATTAGACCTCATTTAAAACCATTTATATAATTTTAGGTAATTTGAGTAATAAAAATAATTTATGCCATAGTAGTTGTCTTTATTTTTTATTAGTACATGATCGGCCGAGCTTCGTTCGGCTTTAGAAAATATAGTTTCCTCAGACACCTGCCTAGAAACTCGTAAATTAAAAAAATATTTTTTTATACCTTATTAGCTGGTACCCAGCACGTTACAGCCGCAGAAGATATAATTGTAGGAATATCGTTTTAAATTTGAAAAAGATGCGATTGTTTAATTAGGAGTGATAATACATTCAAATAAATTTGTCGGTACGGTACGCGCGCCATCTTCAGTTAAGTTAATTGTACTATGTCTATTACATTCGCGCAAGTGCAAGCAATAAGTTGACAAAATTTTAGCGCAATCTGATGAACGGTATGGCAGCGCATAAAATACGAACAAACAAAAATTAATTTTTATACTTAGATAACTTTGTCCAGAACACACATCTGTGTTGCAATATTTACCATCACGATGATTTTCATATTGACTTATGTCAACTCCCATAGAACATTTTATTTAAGGGTTACTCCGTTTATCCACTCTAAGAAATCCACTTTAGGGTGGGATACTCGGAAACGCGTGTTCGTTTATCCGCCCCAAATACAGTTCAACAGAAAATATATTCATACTGTTGCGCGCCACCATTAATGACTGGTACATGGCCACACTAGTTACCAGTAACGCCTTCTAGTATCGAGTAGCAATACTAGGAGAGTCAAGATTCTTCTAGAAATTTCCATGGAAGAACTTTCTAGAACTATCGACAACTTAGTCAGTCGGGACTGGTATGTACTCGAACATTCTAGATGTTTCTACAGTGCAAGATTCTGGTACTATCTGGTAGATGAGGCCCTATATAAGGCCGGTATAGACCGCGACCAAGGCAATGTTGAGTTGGAGATACAAGCGAATACTTCGAAGTGATATAACTGCGAACTAAAGTGATCAGTTGTAATTACTGTTCTGTAATTAAAGTGTCAATTTTTGTAATTCACTCAGCAGCATTTAATTGTCTCAAACCCCAAGCTCAATAAAAATACTTTAATATATATTGATAAATTTTTAATAACCACAAACTTATACAAAAATCATATTACGTACATTTAAAACAAATTAAACTTACTCGTATTAAATAATAATTATGTAATATTTGTAATTGAACAATTAAAAGTATTTCAGTTTTGACCTTTAACAAGAAATCATCATCATTATAGTCCATCACAAGTCCAGTGCTGAACATAAGCCTTCCCCAAGGAATGCTATAAAGCACGGCCCTGGGCCACCTGCATCCATCGACTTACTGCATGTCTTACTAGGTCCTCACTCCATCTAGTGAGAGGACGCCGTAAACTTCATCCGCCGGTACGAGGCCGCCACTCGAGAACGTTTTTCCCCCATCGGTTGTCGGTTCTTCGAGCTATATGGCCGGCCCAGTGCCACTTCAGCTTACTAATCCGTTGGGCTATGTCGATCACTCTGGTTCTACTGCGGATATCCCAATTGCTTAGTTTATCACGCAGAGAAATCCCGAGCATAGCCCTCTCTATAGCTCGCTGAGCGACTTTGAACTTCCTCTTCCTCATACGTCCAGCAGTGAAGGACCACGTCTCAGTCCCATAGGTCATCACTGGCAACACGCACTGGTTGCACAGTCGCGTTGTCAAGTTTTGAGGTATACCTGACGAGAAGATGTGCCGTAATTTCCCGAACGCTATCCAACCGAGTTGAATCCGTCGATTAACCTCTCAGTCGAAGTTGGGCTATTTGTCCCAAGTAAACAACTTCTTGCTTAGTGCTCCCTAACAACTACCAGCATAGGTGTGACATGGACGGTATATATGACCTTCATTTTGTCCATGTTCATCTTAATACCTATCCGCGGGGGGGGGGGGAGCACTATTGAGGTCATTGAGCATACTGCTTAAATCCTCCAGCGATTCTGCCATAAGGACTATATCGTCGGCAAATCGAAGGTGAGTTATGTACTTGCCATTGATGTTAATACCGTTTCCTTTCCAGTCCAGTAGCTTGAAAACGTCGTCCAATGCAGCGGTGAAGAATTTCGGGGATATAACGTTACCCTGTCCTGTCTTACACCTCTCTGCATTTGGATAGGTTTCGTACTCTGGTTCTGTACTCGGATAGCCATCGTAGCCCTACTGTACAAGGACTTCAGCACTTCGATATACCGACAATCAACTTGGCATCGCTGAAGGGACTGCAGCACCGCCCGAATTTCGACGGAATCAAAGGCTTTCTCATAGTCCACATACGCCAGACATAGTGGCAAATTGTACTCCTCTGACTTCTGCACAATTTGCCGAAGGGTATGTATGTGGTCTATTGTGCTAAAGCCTTTTCGGAAACCGGATTGTTCGGGAGGCTGGAATTCGTCGAGTCTGCATGCGAGACGATTTGTAATGACTCGAAAACAACACGTAGACGCGGCTCAGAAGGGAAATCGGTCTATAGTTCTTCAAGAGAGCATTGTCGCCTTTTTTGAAGAACAAGAACATTTCTGCTCCACGCCTCCGGTGCAGTGCCACCATGGAGGACGGAATTAAAGAGTTTCTGAAGGACTTCAAGTACAGGTTTTCCACCCGCTTTCAGAAGCTCCGCTGTAATTCCATCCTCGCCTGGGGCCTCGCTGTTTTTAAGGTGATGAAAAGCCATTATAATCTCGTTCAGACTGACGTCCGGAATACCATCGGATAAGACTTGCTCTTGGATCGTTACTCACACTTGCGTGTGGCTCCAACGATAATGTGTACAGCTGCCCATAGAACCTCTCAATCTCACTCAAAATCTTAGGTGCCCCGGAAACGACGCTGCCACACTCTGTCTTCAGCTTCGACAGCTAGCTCTTTCTGGCAGACAGATCTCTAGCAAAGATTTTGATGCCCTGGTTCCGCTCGATCGCTTCTTCAATACGAGCTGTATTGAAGTGGCGTAAGTCCCACCGCATGCATTTGTATATCTGTCTGTTCTGTTCAGTTGTCTGTACGCTGTCAAATCTGCTGAAGACTACCTTCATTTTCCGTCTAACAGCAATGACATTAAGAGTGTGATCGGAGAGTTTTTGTGTTCTTCTGCGGCGGGTCTTGCAGAACTTAGCTCCGACCGCATGGACAGTTTCCACGAGCTTGCCATTCATATCGTCCACTGCATTTCAATCTTCTAGGCACTGAACACGGTTTTGTAGCTCGAGCTGAAAGGTTTCGGGACTTTGAATTAGAGCACGAGGGGGACAGAGCGTTGACTTCATTAGACGACACCTCTCCAACTTAACGTTTAGGTTCAGTGTGCCTCTAACCATTCGGTGATCGCTACCAGTTTTCACCCTCGCGATCATTGAGATATCACTGAACAGTTGACGTCTGGTCGGCATAATGAAGTCAATCTCATTTTTTGTCGAACCGTCTGGGCTCAACCAGGCCCACTTCTGGAAGAAAGAAGTCGTCATAAAGAGTCCCTCTTTCATCATGAAGTCGGCCAGCTGCTGACCCCTTGGGTTCCGTTGCCCTATTCCAAATTTCCCTACCTTCAGCTCACCGTTATCTCTAATGCCTAGTTTTGCGTTGAAGTCTCCGAATAACACCGCATAGTGGGTTTTGGAGGAATGCATGGCTCTAGATATATCCTCATACATTTCCTCCACCTCCTCATTGAGATGTGCCGAGGCTGGTGCGTAAACCTGTATGATCTTTAGCGAATACCGTTTGGTAATTCTGAATATAAGGTACGCAATCCTCGTCGACACACTCTATCTTTACGACGTTGTTAACTATAGTCTTGTGGACGATAAATGCGACACCTCCTTAGGACAGATGGTCGTCCTCCTGGTGATAGATCAAGTTGCCGGATTCGAGGATTACCATATTCTCCCCCTCTCTTCGGACCTCAGATAATACTATAATATTTCCGCGCAACTTGTCTATCTTTTCTTCCAACTCCAGGATCTTCTCTTCAATCCTCAGCGTGCGTGGCAACCAAACCTCCACCGGAGATTCTTAGCACCCAGTGCCCCGCCGCTACCATGGTCGCCACCGTAGCCAGGAATAGCGGGGCCGCCGGGGACTGGTGGCCGTCTCTTCGTTCTTTCTACTTTATTCATTGGGGATTATATATTATATTAGGAGCATAATTGCCACGCTTGGCAAGCGGGTTGGCAAACGCAGTTTTTTATTTTTGCTTTACTGTTATCAGAAAGATGCTGCTGCCCATCTTCTGCCTCAGCTTCTCCCTGTCGCCTCTTTCGACACCCACAGGAAGATATGGGGTAACAAGAACTACGTATGTATTTTTATAAGTATGCTAATGTCTATTAGGCCAATTTCTATCATGTTTTTATAAACGTACACAGTCAAGGGAAAAAATCGGAAGAAAAATAATATACGAATCCCTAGGGTGGATAAACGGAATAACCCTTATTTAAAACTGTTAACTTTCTTATATAGAAATAAAATAAAACAACACTTGCATTCAAAACATTATATTACAATGCAAAAATGTAAACCTGATTATATACAAATTGTTGCGGCTCACTGTACAATTATTAACATAATGTAGAAAGCGCAACACACTACGACACAATTATTACATAACTAACTTTTACCCGCGACTTCGTTCGCGTAGAACTTACACGAATCTGTAAAAGTGGGTTTGAAGCAAGTAGATCAATTATCGAAAAATCAGTTTATTTTTCTTAGTTTCTAGCGGATATTAAAAAATGTGTAAAGTATCCCCATTCGACTATAATTTCTTTTGTTATATTACGCGATAAATTAGTCAAAAATTGTGAATATTTTGATGATTCTTTTTTTTATTTGAAAGCTGGTGCTTCACATGTGGTCCCATATAAATTTGATTAAGGTCTGACCAATCGTTTTTGAGTTATTCTTAATAATTTATATTGAAGTCGGTTGTACAAAATTATTAATTTTAAATTATTATTAAATTATACTTAACGGGTGGTGGTCGCATATAAATTTGGAGAATAAGTTCGACCCCAAGGCAAAATAGAGGATCAAGTTTTGCTTCTAACCTTTATATTACACGACACGCTGACTTACTGCGTGTTGACAACATTTATTTTTTACCGCCGAGTACAATCATACAAAATCAAATTTTAAGAGCTATTAACAATTTCGTTTTTCGGCGAGGATCAAACTTTCTTTTTTGCTTACTATGCAGGCACTGATTTATAAGTTCTTTTATGTTTTTTATTGTATCAATCGTGTCAATTAATCTCTTTATTTTTAGAATTGATGTTAACAGCGCCATCTCTCTTTAAATCTATACATATAATAAAAATGGTAATAGCATGTTGTGTCTGAATATTGTATAGTATATTAATTTGTGACTAAAATCATTATGGGGACTGAAAATCATTTAATAAGTACATTTTTATAATTTTTAGAATTGTACTGTCCTACGGTCTGTCTGTTTGTTTATGGACGCATTGAGTAAACATCTTTTTTTCAATGAAATCCTTAAGAAATTCTTACTGCGTATTATCGAGTTCATTTAATCTTTGTTTTATTAAAATTGGTTAATTCTATCGAAAGTTATGATTATTACAGCAAGGGAAAAGTAACAATTAACTTGAATATCAATTTACGTAGAATAGTTATTATGCGACAACCGACAACCGATGAAAATGTTAAAAACGTTTATTGTATAATTGGAAGCAAATAAATAAAAAAAAAGCAACGACACTACAAAATAAAGCGAAAGCAGTGACCATTGTGACATTACAGGTGACACTTAACAATTAAGTTTGACTCACCATACTGACAGTTTTTTAGGTTAACGATGCGTTCAGGAATTCTGAATTATTCAAAAATTTTAATCTTCAGAGCAGATGCAAGATTTAGTTGATATTGATTTCGCGAGTTCGCATTGTTTGCAAGTTCCCAATTATCGATTATGGGTTCATTGACGTCGATGTTTCGATATTTGACATGTGTCAACATCGATGTTAAAACATCGAAGTTTTAATTTTTAACATCGATGATCATCTAACATCCCTATTTTAAGTGTGTTTCCCCACTCAGCGTGTGTTATGTGACGATCGTAAATAAAGCGCAAGGTCAAACTTTACGCGTTGCAGGAGTGGACCTCAGTACTGATTGTTTTGCACATGGCCAACTCTATGTTGCTTTTTCGCGCATTAGTAGTCCCCGTAACCTTTTTCTGTACGCCCCGGCTAAGTCTAGTCTTCTATCGTCGTTTACACAGAAGCTCTATCATAAACGACTTAGAACTATGAGCATATCGTTTTATTTTGTTCGTCGTTAATCGTTTAATATTCTTTTACCCTAAACGTCAAATTCTTTAAGTAAAACCTATATTCGCGAGCTACGCCGCGGGCACAGCTAGTTTAAAATAAAAATGAAACACTATCCTATAGTTTTCATACTACACTCATAGTTTTGTCGTAAAATGATTTTAAAAAGGCTAAAAGTTTATCTTGCACCAAAACTTAAAGAAAGAAAAGAGAACTTTTGTTTAAAACTTTTTCCATATTTCATCATCATCTCCTTCATCAACTATCATGTCCTCAAACTAAGAGAATTTTACTAGCACCTGCAGTACTACGCATAATCATTAGAAAGTGTCTTTCTGTCTCTACGTTGCACAATTTATAAAATTCCACCGACATTATTTTTTAAATTCACTTTAACAACGCGAGGTCGTAGTTTTTGACAAAATGGTTTCATAAATATACACGAATACTACAAATTGAATATAATTAATTTTTCGGACTTTATTATAAATTATGTAATTTTACTTTAAATTAAATGCAATAAAATCGGTAAAACTAGCTTTATTCAATGTAGCTCTTTGACTTTGAAAAAATGCTTTGAACAAATTTGACTTTGACAACACCTACACACGTGGTAAAATAAAAAAATTTGTACAACCGACTTCAATATAAATTAAATGAGAACATCGTCAATGTAGTCGAAATTTTTTTTTAAACGGGATAAAGGTGACAAGGTAGCACACAGTCCACCTGATGGTAACTGGTTGCTGTGACTGAAAGACATCTACATCACCATAATTCAACACAGCAGCATTGTATTCTGAGACGGTGGTCCTTTCCAGGTCGACCTACCCATTCGTGCTACAACTATCTAATTAATATAGCTGCAACATGGCTCCACCGGCTTTAAATACGTTATTATGAAAAACTCAAAAACTACTGGTCACATCTCGATTAAATTTATGAGGGGCCCTGTGAGAAGCGCGAGCTTTCAAATAAAAAAATCACCAAAATTGGTTCACCTAGAAAAAAATTATGATTCAGGTAACACACAAACAAACAGTAGAATTGAGAATCTCCTCCTTTTTTGAAGTCAATTGAAAATTGACAGTAATTGGTATGATCATTTCTAAATATATTATTTAATCATTGAAAACTCCAAATAAATGGTGAATAACCAATCATACACATTATGTAGACTTTTTTTTATTAAAGTGTCAAACAAATTTACAGTCCATCACAAGTTAGTCATACCAGTTACTCGACTCCACCGAGTTAGTAATTCATTCTTGGGGCGATGTATACGCTTTTACAACAACCGCTGGGTTTCTTGCTAGTTCTTTCCAGGACAGAGGTATTTTCCGAATCAGTGGTAAATATAAAAATAAAAAAGCAAATATAAAAGCGACTTTCATTAAGTGGTAATGGTAACTAGCTACTGCAGTCCATGGAAACCTGTAGCCAACTTCAAACAAAAGGCTACTGTTGCGTTGTCACCTGAGTATCAACATGGAATGCGACACATTCTGTAATTATACTGGCTTTATAGCCTTCAGAAGAGAACACAACAGTGCACAGCTAAAATATTTGCATATCATTTAAAAAAATTGTGGCTAATGAAATGTGTCTTGACGTAGTGTGTTGGTGCCTTCCATTATTTATTATTGCTATCCGAATTAAAATTAAACTGTGAATAAATTAACAATGACTGTAACTCACGCTCTGTTGCCGCTGTAGCATAAATAAATGCACCACAAGTCCTCAATTTGTCATAAACAATTAAGTTAAAAGTTAAAGTTACAGCCAATACACGTCCCATAGCTGGGCACAGGCTTTCTCTAATTTCTGAGAGGATTTTAGGGCAAGGAATTGTCCGCCGCTGTGTCCCAATGCGCGTTGGCGAACTTCATGTCTTCGAAATATATATTTTTTCTTATTTCAAGTTTCCTCACGATGTTTTCATTCACCGCTGAGCACGTGATAAATCAGCACTTAAAATTGCAATTAACAATTTCATTGATGCTTCCGGGGATCGAATCCGGGTTGCTCGCGTACGCTAACCATCTGAGCTACCACGGCTCATAAACAATTGGCATGATAAAAATTATCTATTTATATTAGTCTTAATAAGGCTCAAAAAAAAGTACCTTTGCCTAAAAAAAATATTTGAATGAATAAAACCCTGTGACCAAATTATTCAATGTTTTCATTGATTTTTATTTATGATCAAAGGACAGCGCCGAGTTCGTCGTACCATTTACTGTGTTATTTTCATCACCATCCGTACAATATGCATCAAAAAACTTGTCCGATCCGTTAATATATTATTCAGTATTGACATGTGCATTATGAAAACAATTTCCATAAAATAAATAGAAAACAAAACCATAATTGAATGAGGAGCCTTATCATACATAAAATGAAAAGATTTATGATTTATGACTCTATCTATGATCCCCACTAGTTACACACCGCACTGCACATCGGACAGATTTTCTTTCATACTGGATTTCTCATTAAGCCTTTTAATATAATGAGCTAACTTTAACTTTTATAATGTTCGGATAAAAAAAAGTTAACAATTTCTTCTGCTAAGATAAAATAGTAAATTGTCTTACTATCAGAATATACTGCGGCGTGGCACAGAGTAACAAAGCAACAGAGCTAACAAAGAGTAGTCGGTAACGAGGCTACTTCTTGATGAGCTGCACGACGTCCTCGTCGTTAACGACGTGCGAGACGCCGACACGCTGTGGTGAGTACTTGGTGCTGGTGCCCCACACCAGCGCGTACTTGAGCTGGGCCGCCAACGACCGATGAATCGAGTGGCACACGTGTTCGATACTCACGCCCTGGAACGAAACATTAGTTTTAACTTCGTCAACTCACACGATCCGAAGATATGCGAATTTAGAATTTTTAAAAATTTACTCATATGCATAACATAAGTAATATTATAAAGAGCAGAAATGAAGAGTATAGATAATAAGGATGCTATGGCCCATAGACGTCTATCATTGATTCGGAATGCCTCGTTTCTAGTAAAAAGGGTCTCCAGTTTTCTACACTCACCATACTTCAAGACAGCAGCATTGAGCTGCTATTTTACGCTGGTATTCTATGAGAGCGTGGTGCTACCCCGGTCGAGCCGACCCATTCGTGCTATAACCATAATATAGTTGCAGCATAGTTCTACCACGTAAAAGCTTATACCAATTTTGTTCTGTGAGCACAATAACTGTTAGAGGCAACTATGGAAAATATCAGAATCATCTCATGGGTTCCGATAGGTGGCGGTAGAACTAAAATAATTACATCGGCGGCGTCACATGTACGAAAAGTCTAGAACTCGATCACCGATCCGCCTCCTAACTACCACCATGTAGTATTTAAATAAAATTACAAAAAATATACAAGAGTGGACTCTTGCAAGGAATGCTTCGGTGGTTTGGCCATGTAGAAAGAATGAACGAGTAATGAGTGATAAAGCAAATTTATGTTGCGGAATGGCATCGTCGGGAAGAGACGCCCTTGACGAAAATGTATCGACCAAGTTGGCGATATACTGAAGAAGAGCCAGATTAAGAGTACCCTTAACCAATGAGCATGTATGCTTAGATATATGGATGTAAAGGAGGCGGGAGAGGTGTGTCAGGATTGTGCTAAATGGAAGTCCGTAGTCTCTGCTTAGCCCTCTGAGTGACAGTCGTGAGAGTATATGTATGTATGTATATGGATCATTAGAGCAATAGCTAAGCGGTTGTCTGTGGTATTGCGAATCGCGAGATCAATTCCCGCGAGGGACAATGTATGACATATGTTTGTCTTCAACGCATCGAAGACCTTCTTTGTTAAATGTTAGTAACTGTAATTAAAATACTTCTAATACTATTATATAAATTATTTCCATGTGTGGCCTACAAATAATTCTATGTGAAATGCATGACACTGGGGAAACTCCAGAAAACTTGCCTATATTAAGCTATATGTATTAGGTTAATTAGACCAATTAGAGATAATTATAAACAAAGATTTTCACCTTTCTCAATATAAGTCCTTCGTCGAAGTCTGGTGGTTGTCCCGGTTTTTTGGTGTAGACGCGAATGAGGGAAAGATACTCCCACAGAATCTCTAGTAAGTAGTCGAGGTTTAGCTTCATGTTACAACTGTAATATAAGGGTTTAAAAAAAATTTAAAGCAACATTTTACAGGAAAAACCTTTTAGCATATTTATGCCAACATCTTATACACAAATAACTATAGTACAAGCACAGTCTGAAGCATTTCAACTTAGGTCTTTGTGGGTGACAACGCAACAGTATTTTGATTGTTAATTGAGGATATATGTATGTAGGTGTCTATTGAGCGTTGTCTATAAGAGTTGATTTACAGATAAATTTTATCGCAATGTCAACCGTTTATTGGCAATAAACTTTGTACATACAAAGTTTATTGCCAATAAATATTGTGATTCTGATTAAGTCAACCCAATGATGAGCTGTCGCTGTTATGCATAGATCATGTACCAAACTTGCTGTCCAGCGTGGATAAATCAACAGATTTCTGGTAGTCTTTATTTGAAATGGTTGGTGAAGTCCATGGGATGCACTAGCTACTTAACATAAGGTTGACTTCTAATTCTAGATCCTTCTTCGTCAGGCCGCAAGAGCCTACAGGACATGAGCCTCTATTGTTGGGAGGTTTTGACTATATCTTTGCAGGTGAATTTGTACAGTATCAGACATCTCGCATCTTTGACACAGCTAACCATCGGCGGTCTTCTGTATCAGATAGCAGAACTCCTACAAAGGTGTTGGTATTTGTGGAAAAATTAAAAAACATCGCCGGTGCGGAAGCCAAGAGATCTTTCTGAGTTTTCTCTTAGTCGCCTCTTATGACACCCAGTGGATGAAATAGAGATTTGGATTCTATCAAAAGTCCACTGCTAAACGCAGGCCTCCCTAATAGATTACCTAATAGAGGGAAGATTGACATAGTTAGTACGCTTGGCAGGCAGGTTGGCAACCGCAGATTTTTATTATTTTAAGTTGTTATCAGGAAGATTCTTTCTTTTTTATAGGATAGGTGTGACAAACGAGCACACAGTCTACCTGATGGTAAATGGTTGCTGTGGCCGATAAACATCTACATCTATCTACGTTTGCAAATTAAAATGCAGATGCGTTGTCAGCCGTGAGGACTAAGATTGAACGCCTCGTTTCCAGTAAAAAGGGTCTCCGGTTCTCTACACTCACCATACGAAACACAGCAGCGTTGAGCTGCTATTCTGTGAGAGCGTGGTCTTTCCCCGGTCGAGCCGACCCATTTGTGGTTCAACTATAATATAGATGCAGCATGGCTCTACCCTGTAAGCCCTGCTGCCCATCTCCTGTTTTATTACCTCTGTCACCTCTTACGAAACCCACGGGAAAATATGGGGTAGTGAGTTCTGTTGCGTCGCCATTATATTTGAATGTGTGATCATTAGATTGGAATGTTTTAAAGACGCTAACCTGACAACAACAGAGTGTGGCTCGCGTGCTATCCTATCCACCTCTTGTATGGAGATCTGATCGATTTTGTTGTACACGTAGATGCAGGGTAAATACACGCGATTCGCCAGGATCACGTCGATCAGGTCATCCGCCGAGCAGTCCTCGCGGAACAGCACCTGGTGATGAAATGGTATACAAGAAACATTTAAAAAATAATAGATTTCCAAGTGAATTTCTACAACATTTACTCCAAATACTAAATAAATGTTTAGCAGAATAAAGGTATTGGCTTTGTGCTTTTTTGGAACCCCTCATGATGAGATTGGACAAAATTTTAAGGAAATTCTTGAAGGTTTAAGGACAGCAGAGGGTTTGAGAGGAGAATTTATTGAGTGAAAAAGAGCTCTGTCATTGATTGACCATAACCCCTATCAAATCTTCTTATAATACAAAGTATTTATTACAAAGGAAATAGTAAAATATTTCTATCTTGAACATATCTCTGCCAACCCAAACAACATTTCAACATAGGGTTAAAATAGGCTGAAGGCTGAATATAAATTGGATAAAGATTGACATCATGATCATAAACTAAAACAATCCTGAGGCCAGAGCAGATTGGTCAAGTTTCAAAATGGCTCAGAATAATTAGCATGCTGGAATGGCTGATTGTGATATGTATGTATGTATTATGTAGTTAACTGTAGACATTATTTTGTGTAATTATAATCAAATACCATTTTAGTTCAAATAAATTCTATATCACTACACCTATGTCAAATTCTCACCACTCCATGATTGGTAGAGGATGCTTAAAGGCATTAAGTATCCTTTTGTAATAGAGAATGCAATATAGAATAAATTAATAAATTGTTGTTCACTGATCGTACATAAGTCTTTATGGTTCTAACCACCAAAAAAAACTGGGTGAGACAGGATGTAAATTTTTTCTTCTATGGGGTTACATGTCTAACGGTTTAATCAAAATTTAGTGCAATGCTGATTAGAATTAGTTTAACCCATAACATCTTATAAAGTTACCTCAGCATTGAATATTTTATATTCATGAAGAATCATTTGCACCATTTTCTCGTCCACTTTTGTAAGTTGACACGTTGAATTGAAAGATAAACCGCCACCTTTTTTCACCTGAAAATATAAGAATATTCACCGATTATTTAAGTATATGGGATTATGGGAAAACTAAGAAAGATCTCATCGGAACAATATGTGAAAAAACATATCGTTACGGCCACACACATTGCGATAGCACGAATATTCGCATTATCGCAATGTATGTGGCCATTACTTCGTGAATATTTAGTAACTTTGTGCTAAGTCGTAAGCACATCGCTTCGCTGTCAGTATATTCTCGTTGCGATGGAATTCGCGTGCGTGCGGTCACATTTCAGTCTGCCCAGTGCCCACAGACATCGTACGTAGCGGATGTGTTAAAGTAAATTGCGATTTGCGACGTATTTCCAACATGGATTGGTGTAATGAAATAATTTTAGAATTTATCAGAAATTACGAGTCCGAGCCGATATTATTTATATATTTATTCTTATTTTTTAAAACTAACACAATAATAAAAAAAAATATTCGCTGCCGTATACAGAGCGACCGTGGCGTCCATTTTATAAACTACAATGTGCAGTGGCCAGGCACATTCGCGGTAGGCGTGTGTAGGGTGTGTGGCAGAGTCATATCAGCAGCAGCTTACTGCAGTCTACTGCTGGGCATAGACTTTCACAATAGCAAAGGCAAAGTAGCCAAAGGCTTCTTGCTCCCGCTGAAAAATGTATTTTAATATAGTTGTTGCTGAAGCTGATAAAACAAAGAAGAACACCTAGATTTGCATTCTCTAGAGATATTAACATGGTTATATCCAATTCTTGACTTGTATCAAGATGCGCCACTTAACATTACTTCTCACTAACCAGTAGGCAGTAGTCACACCACCCCACTCTTATACGAATCTACTCCAAACTTATTGACCAGCTTATTAGAAGTTTAATTTGCGAATATATCGCTGATTTGGATTCCCCACTGAATGTCATTAGAAATTTATGTAACATTTTTTTAGTCTTCATACTACTGTACAATAAATTACCTATTGTGACTTACAATTTATTCATTTAGAATAGTATTTTGATAGCACTATGGCAGGTTGATGAGTTGGTCATACTTGTAGTACAGGTGCAGTTAAGTTATCTGTTACTCCTCCCACAAGCCACAGCTATCAGAAACAGAAACTTTTTTATTCAATATAGATTATAAATAATACTTATTGAAAGTCACTCTTTTGTTTAATTACCACTGGTTCAAAAACAAACCTCTGTCCTGGGAAGAACCAGCAAGAAACCTAGCAGGATTTTTTTTTTAATTAACAGCTTACAAGCATGTAATCACAATAAACCACACAAAACAAATAAGAAATTGCTTGGTACCTCTAAAGCCCATTCAGTTAAACGGTTGAAATTTTTACCTTAAAGTAAATATTTGGCTTATTTTTATTAAGCCTTATGCCAACACTCTCCAATTCTCGTTCGAGCAGCTGGCGATGCACATAAGGCTTCGTGGCGTCCAACATCATGAGTACCAGGTCAGCTGTCCGTGCCACTGCTATAACCTAAAATTTTGATTTCATTTTTATTCTGGATACTGCCAGCAATTACGACTTTTAATTAATTTTAACAATTTTACCTATTGTTAAAAATTCCAGTACTTACTGGAAAACATTTATTAAGAATTTTTGTACATTCAATTAGACAGTGGAGATGGGTTGATGGTATACTTTATTTTTCATTACAGTAAATCAAGATTGTAGATACCTGTCTTCCTCTACCCTTGCCCTGCGCAGCACCTTCAATGATTCCTGGCAAATCAAGCAACTGTATGTTGGCTCCTCTATACTCAATAACACCAGGGATGCATGTCAATGTTGTAAACTCATAACTCGCTGCCTCAGAGTGTGTATGTGTTAAAGTAGATAGGAGTGTTGACTGTAATTAAGTTTATTATAAGATTAACTATATGAATAAAGAGCAAATTTTTAATAGAATCAGGTGTTACTTTTTTCAGAAATCCATTATATTACAGTTGGTAAAAATTATTTTGCCTACATCCACTCAATAAAATAAAATGATGTGTCTTACCTAGTTTGAAGGGCACCTCCCTCCCTCCCTCAATTACATGCACTATCCCCGTCACCACTAATCCCAGCACCACTACTCCCAACACCACTACACTAGGAAAGACACACCACCAACGACAATATGACACGTGTTTCGCCTCTACATGGGGTATCCTCAGGTGAAGTAGACCATCCATTTGAACTAAGTGGTTTGCTGAATCTATTGCAATTCTTACAGCTAGGAGTGGTATAATTTGCCAACATCTGTCTTTCCATCCAATTACAAGCTGGGTTTCTTGAAGGTAAGAGTAAACAGGCTTTTGTTACACTACAATAGCTTGATTTACCACCTAAAGTTGTAAATAAAGCTATTGTAGTGTAACAAAAGTTTAGTTATAAGTACCGTATTTACTTTCATATGTATTTAATAAAAAACTGTAATTTTTACATTACAAACAGACACTTCTATTTTATTTATTTGTATAGATTATTTATGAAAATTATGTTTTATGAATAAGGAAAGCGGAAATAATATATGGTTTACTCTCGTAATAAAGTTAGTCTTATAATAAAAGCTATACAACTTACTTTACCAACAGATGGAAAGCCAATAAGTGCCACACGGGCATCACCTGACTTGAGTACATCAAAACCTTCCCCTTTGTCACCCCCTTTCTTAGACGGTTCTAGTAATTGGGAACGATATTTTGCAAGCTTTGCTTTCAATAAACCTAAGTGATATTCAGTTGCTGTAACAAAACAAAAACTTAAAAGGAGAGTTCCAATAGAGAATCTTTTAATACTTTTTTTCATAATTCATTTATGTGTTTATTCAGATGAATTCTACACATTTTTAATACCTTCAGTGGACAAACCAAGCCAAGCAAGAGCCATGGTTGAAAACCTGAGGTTATAGATTTAGAATACTCTTATTATAAATAATTAGAACAAGTGAACAATTTTACATCTTATTACAATATCTGAATGTTTTTAAATGTAATATAACTACATAATATTACACAAATGAGAATTATAAAAAAAAATGTTTAGTGAAGAGTACAGTAACTTCTAATAAGGGTTAATTTTAACTATTGCTGTTACAAAATCAGTGATATCTTAACTGCTTATAATAATCTGTAATTAGTTTTGTATTTTAAGTAATAATTATAATTATTTTTCAATATTTTATTCAAATATAACGGTTTAAACTTGACTGGTAACTGAAAATGATTTAAAAATTTAATATTTAATTTAAAACTAATTTGATTGAATAAAATCTAGCCCTAATAGATAAACTGAAAACCAAAAAGAATTGTGAAAACCTTAGAATGGAAAAAGAGAAATTGAAAATTATAACAACTGAAACTAAAAAAACTGAATTGAAACAGTCACAATGAAAAGTACAATTATATTATGTGATAGAAAGAGCAATAAACATTTAATTATTTCTTGTAGCTATCGTGACACATCTCTAACTTAATACCTAATATTCATCATCATCATCATTGCATAAACACAGCCCTTTGCGAGTTTACTGTTGAACATGGGCCTCTCCCTTTAAATGTCACAAAAAACGGTTCTAATCCTAAACCGCCTGCATCCCTCGACTTCCAGCAAGTTTACGAGGTCGTCACTTCATCTAGTGAGTGCTCTACACTTCGCATAGTTTCACACAGCTGCCACTCAAGAACTTTTCTTCCCCAAAACCAAATATTAATAAGTACCAAAAAGTATTCATATTTATAAGCAACAATTTTAAATGTAAATATAATACCTTTGTTCTTCTGAGTTCGGGCAATCTCTTTTTCGATTTCTGATATCTTTTCTAAAATACCCATTCCTATAGTTTACGATCAACTTTTGAAACAAGGAAAAAACGATACAACGTCAATATATTAATTTCATTAAAATTTTAGGTAGTTTTCTAATTTTTAAATATAAAATAAATATGTAGTTGACTTTTTTAATAATAAAAGTTTAAATTGTATAAAAAGTAAGGTTATTAACTAGATACCAAATAATGTTAGTACTTCCCGATGTATTACTTTTCTCTATGGTTAGTACTTAGCTACTTATAGTACTTGGATTCTTGGATTGCCGATCGGTGATTCGTTGATGTCAATCACAGATTCACAGATTCACAGAGTATACCATAGAGATATAAACGTAGAGAGAGAATGAACCACGGAATATAAAATTTTTTATATTCCGTGGAATGAACCCTCTACGGATATAAATGTAGCCTAGTATATATAGGCTTCCTAGGCTTCTTCCTGTCTATACATATAATACATATAATATAGACGCCACAACAAACTCTTGGCTAATATCTTTGCCAACACATTTGCCACTATGTTGGCCAACATGAAGAGCCGCTATATAGCTATTGTAGTAAGACTAAAATGTGCTTGTTTGTGTAAATGAGTTAAGTGTGCGCATGTGTAGCAGTTGGCGGCGTGAGTGAAGTCTAGTAGAAGATCAACAGCATCAACAGTAGATAGGCCTATTGAAAGTAAAAAAGTAGCAGCCTTACATTCCACTGTTAATTTACTCATGCCAGCTATGAAACCGGGACTATCACAAAAAATCTCAATAGGCATGTCTGAAAACATGAAAGCTATCTTAATATATGACAAACTGTTTTAAAAGTCTCATTAAAAGTATAGACAGCGGCTTAGCTTTCCATTGACGTCAGTAGAGTTTGGTGTTGATACGTATTTTTACAGAAAGATACACTATTATAAGCACACACACAATGTCTCAATATACGGAAACGCGTAATTTTTGAGAAAAGAATAATTGAAAATCAATTATTCTTGCAATGTTTACGTCTAATTTGCTAATAAACTGGCGCCATTTTGTAATGTCATTGTCGACGTCAATAGGGATGTCGATTCTTTCCGAAAAAGGTCGATTTTTAAATCGATTCAAATCGTAAGCTGATGTATCGGTTCACAAAAAATCGATTTCTAAAATGTCTATATTTTTTTAATGTTTCTATTTATAATGTAAATATAAACCCATTTTATGAAAAACAAGAAAGATACCATGATAAATGATCTCTTATTGAAATTTGTTTTATTTAACAGTACCTATTAGGGCAGATAAATAAAATAGGTTAGGTTCAACTTATGTCAAAGAACCGAATTGATTGACCCCGACTCCACCTGGTACGAGTCTGTCCTACCCCTAGAGTGGTTTTATAGAGCCGGAGGCGCGTAGGGGGAGCAGCCTCCGCCTGCTGTGACAAATCGTAGGCATCGGACGAGCCGGAGCGGCTGAGGCTGGTCGCCGAAGGCGACCAACAAGCCGAAGCTGCGGAGGCGAGGAGGGATGCCTGCGATTTGTTACGCTAAGGCGTAGAGGTTGCTCTTCCCGCAGCGCCGGAGACGTAGCAGTCTCAAAATAGATACAGAAATCCGTATGAATCAGTTCCCTTATTTTTTTATGATGAAGGGGATTTTTTTCTCATAAAATGGATTTATATTTACATTATAAATGTAAACATGAAAAAAAAATCGATATTTTAGAAATCGATTTTTTAGGAATCGATACATCAGCTTACGATTTGAATCGATTTAAAAAGCGACCTTTTTCGGAAAGAATCGACATCCCTATTGACGTCGACAATGACATTACAAAATGGCGCCAGTTTATTAGCAGATTAGACATAAACATTGCAAGAATAATTGATTTTCAATTATTCTTTTCTCAAAAATTACGCGTTTCCGTATATTGAGACTTTGTGTGTGTGCTTATAATAGTGTAATCTTTCTGTAAAAATACGTATCAACACCAAACTCCACTGACGTCAATGGAAAGTCGTACCTAGACAGCTTACACACGTGTTACGACTGCGTACAGTTCTGCTAATTACCCTTGTGCAAAATAGTGGTTTCAGATGTCCACGATTTTTTAAAAACCTACTTGGACAACAAGGTTTCGCCGCCAAGTTATTCTTTACTACTTTACTGAGTACGTGGAAAATAAGCAAATAAAATTTCCTTACCAGTTTCATTATTCCTCGAGGGAATCGAACTCTCTTGTTCCTGCGGCGAGCTACACAGCTCTCGTATCTGCTTAAATAAAACTCATAAAAACTGAAAAGAAGCTTTTGAACCATTGTGGACCCCATCTACCTTGTAATTCGTAAATCAAACTATTCCATCATTTAGATATGAAAATCTTACAGTCCACTTAATTTTCAATTTCTTACATCGGACTTCATACAAAAAGAAGCTGGTAAAATATTGCTATGCTGATAAACACCTAACATATTCAACTAAAGACATTTTGTCTTAATAACAGTTTTGTGTACACAGTTCTGTTAGTCATTTTGCTGAAAGTGACAATAAAGATAAATCATCCTGACACCGGTTTGGACATTTTAAGTCTGACAATTTTTGATGCTGGAAGAATAAGTATTCAATAATTTCTTCAGTTACTTATTATTAATTTATTTAGCAGTAAGTAGATGGCGGTATTATGAGATTAAAACTATGAAAACATAAATTGTACCCTCTAGTACTCAGCGACAATAAGTTGAGGTGCGACTGGGGTGGCCCTCTCCAGTATTATATATTAGTCTATAGGTGGCTCAATCACACAACAAAGCCGCCAACATTTATATAATACATAAATTATGCATAAAGTGTTGTAGATTCTATTAAAACTTCTGCATCTGACAAAATATGCTATCAACGCTGCTAGATACTAGCGATTTTTTACGATTTATTTTTTACGATACGACTATTTTACGATATTATAACAATTTGAAGAAATGCCAATGTTGTGTTTGATAATGGTGTTTAGTTGTTAATGGTCAATCTATATCATGATATAGTCAAAAAACAATATTAAATTTAATTAAATGCCACCATTTCGTGCCATAATTAGCTACTTTATGATACTATTAATTCTAAGATCTGGTTAATACATATATAAAAATCTCTTTATTTAAACTATATCGATAGTGAGAGTTTTATAAGTTTATTTATAGATAATCAAAACTTTTTTTATAGAGTAGAAATTAAACTTAGAAACATCTCACGTTTTATGATTTTCGATAGATGTCTCTATTATTTACTATTTAAGTAGTAATTAGTTACTATAAACTTTATTCATTTCTACTAAAATGAAATAACGAAATAACTGAAAAATGAACGTTAGAATTTTTAAATAATTATGAATTAAATTATTAAAACATATAAATGTAAGCTATACATTTTATTTTATTTATTAGTAACTGGAGGTAAAATGTTACTATTTTTAGTTCAGTACCTCAAAAGGAAAAAACGGAACCCATATAGGATCATTTTGTTGTCCGTCTGTCTGTCTGTCTGTCAAGACCTTTTTTCTCAGGAACGCGTGAAGGTATCAAGCTGAAATTCATATCAAATATACTCAAGTCTACTGTCCCTTAGAGCTGTGAAAAAATCAAACTTCTAAGCCAACGTAATCAAAAGATACAGCCGTTTATGCCGTAATTTTCGAGATTCGTAAGGGAATCAAAACCTACAGGGTACTTCCCGTGAACTCAGAATCTTGAAATTTTGTACGAAGCAACGTTTTATAGCACAGATAAAGGAAAAATTGCGAAAAGCATAAATTTTTAGTTACATCATATAATAAAAATATTTTTAATAATTTTAATTTATATACCTACAGATTTGTTCGGAACCCTCGGTGTGCGAGTCCGACTCGCACTTTGCCGGTTTTTTGAATTTCACTTTAGATGGCACTGTTTTAATAAAAAGAAACTTAAATTGTCGGCGTAGTTAAAATTATTACACAACGGTTAAAAATAATTTTAGGCTTTATTTATAAATATGTTATTTATTCAAAAACATAACATCAATAATCTATAATATAAAACAGATTATCATCTTGAGCAAGGAAAATACTTAAGCCTCCTTTTTGTAGTTCCGTAATTGCATAAACACTAGATAAACACACAAAATTTTATGAAAATCTGTCTAGTAGTTTTTGCGTGAATCGAGAATACACGGACAGACAGAGAGACAGAAAGACAGACAGACAAAAATTCTAAAAACCACTAATTTGGCCTCAGTGACCTTTATTTAGTCCCCTGGAATTGTTTTATCCAGAAAATATTAGAATTACAGACACGACTTTTCTACAGATTTATTATATGCATAGATTTCGTAAAATGATATATAGTGTACTCTATTCTACGTATTGGTGGGAAGTTATGAATATTTCTTTAGAACAGTTATATGAGAAATTAAAGAAGGTGAGAACATAAGTATTTAATTAAAATTGGACCGAGTGGACGTGAAGGAAAAATTTTAGATACTAGAGGCCAATGACATATTTAGTGACTATTCTAAGGGGTTAATAAATTTTAATAATAAAGTAAAGAAAAGTAAGATTAAATCTACTGATATTCCATCTTATCATATCTATTGTAAGAATTTTGAATCATTATATAAGGATATTACAAAATTGTGTCAGCCCGAATGTGTACAATCTGAAAATCCGAGCAATATGGATACTTTCGATTTGGAAACGGCTTTGAATTTATTATCTGTTTTGTCAGATGACGAGACAAGTGTTAAACAATTAGTAGACAATATTCCATTATTATAATTCTTTGTTAACAAAACAGGAATGCATAAAGAATTTAATTAAATCATAATAAAAAGTAGATTATCTCAATCTGCTAAATTACGTCTTCAAGACGATTATTCTAATGTGGAAGACTTGGTTTGTGATATGCAGAAAAAGTTGTTGCCAAAAAAAGGCGCAGCGGCAGTTAAAGTGTCGTAACCCTGGAATCGGGCTGACATAGCAGTTATACCGAACAATGGGCAAATAA